AATTCATTTAAGGCACTTTGTGAGAAGAAAAGTCGTGAATACCGAGGTTTGGTTTGGCTAACATTTTCTGCATAAGTGAGTGTTTGTGATACTACATAAGCCAAACCAGAATTGAAGTTTTGTGAATTGCCCTCTCGAAATCGTGAATTAGAAAAGCTGCACGTGGATAACATCTCATTAAATCGGTGATGGGACTTCGCTGTAAATCAATTTCGGTACCTTTCCGTTTCCGGACCCATTTTTTTCAAAATGTTCTCATGAGATAATTGCTTCAGCACAGAAATTTTTTTTCGAAAAATGTTGTGAGGACCGTATTCTTGCCACGTGTCAAAATAAAAATTAACACGGGGGCTAGTTAGACATGTTTTTGCAGAAATGGTTTCCGGTTAGCTACGAGAACATGTGAAATGACTTGAAAGCTGCTCAGAGTTCTTTCATGAAAGCAAAGAAGTTTTAAACGTTCATTAAAACATCTTGGTAGCTTACAGCATATATAGAGAAATCCTGCTTTTTACATTGTCTCCGCCATGCAAGTTTAGCCGGGAATGAATAAAAATGATGGCGAAGTAGCTTGCCGATTGTTTCTTCGTTTAGATGCTAGAACAATGGGCAACTTCTCTGCTTAGGACAAATCTAATGTATTTATTGCACACAGAATGTCATTTTCATATTGTTAAAGCTCTCTCATGGAACTGTTAACTGAAAATGAGGTCATTGTTGAATAAGAAACAAATTGAACTACATTGATAGGCAAGCTAAACAAACTCTTGGTAGAACCTGTTAAACACGTTGATGACATGTCAAATTTTTTTTGGCGTGGCAGGAGATTGACTCTCCATCCTGTGAAGTTTTTAACAAATTTGGTGCAAGAAAAGAAGCATTATCTTCTTTTGAAGGAATGGGTCCGGATAACGGAAAAGTACATCAGTTTCTCTAATCGGTGACAAATTCTATAACATTCTGCTCGAAATAATCCTCGAGCTTTGAGAAAGGGCTGCCAAGAAGTAACTTCTGTTGTAAGTTCAATAGTGCAGGCATCTCAGTCATCTCCGTCATCAATCCCCAGTCAAGTTAGTTTAGAGGAGACAAACCCGTGCGTATCCTTTGTAGTCAAATGGAGTCGGTATGCAATATGAAACAGCTTATTTTGAGGCGAAGATCATCTGAAAAGTGTATTTGAAGGCTAAAGCCATCTAAATATAGCACCATATCCTGAACATCTCTGTCTTACGCAACTGGAGCAATGAGAGCCTTTAGACGATGGAAAGAGCTCAAGAGATGGTCATTTTTGCACAAAACAGGGCCAAACTTCATTTACGAGACAATAGACTTCAATAGACTTAATCGCGAGCATTTACAGAAACGGAATGAACAACACTTGAGAAAAAGACAGGCTCTGTGAACACTTCTAGAACTTGAGCTCTCTTGAAAGATATTACCGTGCCAGTTTAACATGTCCTTTTATCAAAATCCATCATTTAGCATAACGTCTCGTGAATGCCGTGAAAAAGGACGAAGTTGAAAGCTCAAAGGACGTTAGTGCAAGTTCGCACGATTCCCGGCGCAATTGGCCTGATAGGAGCTTGATTACGGTGGCTGCCTTTGTTGGGGAGGGCCATATAGGGCACCTCGCAGATGGGTCTCTTTCTCGCACGTTGCTCTTACTAAACGCGAACCATGGTAACAGGCAGCCTTTTGGCGTGTGCATTTTTAGAGCAAAAAGGGTGCGGCTTATACACCTGAAAATAGTGTACTTTGGCTGATGAAAACGCATTCAACTCTCTTTCACTCAGTACGAATAACGTAATCTAACCAGCGTAATCTTTGTTTATAGTAATCACTGCACGTTAATTGCCCAATGAATTCTTTTTGCTATTTGCAAGAATTTTTTGTATCTTTTTAGCATCGACCTGGATATAGACTTACATTAGTTGGTTTTTTGTGCCGCTTCTTGCCTCTCTTACGCAAAGGTGTCTATTCTGTCCACTCACCTCGCAACTGTGACAAGCCCCAACAAGCCTTGAGTCCTGAAAATGTTTGAAAAATACAAAAAAAACAAGATGGCAGGAAGCGGCAGCATGCAAGGAATTAGCTTTCGAAAAAACCAAAAAATTTCTCTTAGGTCGGATAGAAAAGATTGTCGCTTTTCAACTCCTAGCTTCATAGCACGGCGTCGGAAGAACACAGACTTCAAAGACATATACTAGGTAGTATTCGTCAGAGCGAAGCAAGCTCTAAAAATGGCTACTGCTTTCGCACTAATTCATTCCACGTGAAGTTGGAAGTAGAAATCTAAAAAGATTTAAATCTATTTCTATATATATAAAGCAGAAAAGAATTTCATGTTCCGTTTTCATTGAACCTGGGCATGTTCGTAATTGGAATACTGCTTTGTGCCGAACAGGTTGGTAGTTACGGATGAAGCTTTAAACCATTCCAGGCCTCTGATGAAGA